TTTTACTGTTATCCAATCTCCAATTAGATATCCCGATCACTGAAACAGTTTGACTATCGGACCCATAAGGTGGTTCAAGTAAATAGTGAAGGACTTTCAATGGATTAAATGGGCTTGTTTCAGCCAAACCAACTATATTATGCAATCATAGAATAATTGTTATAATTTTATCTTAAGAAACAATTTCGTCTTTTTTTGCATTATTTTATATTTACCTTCATCTAGCAAGACAACACTTATCACAGGAAATTCTTTAGAGGTTGTTTTTTGATAATTGTTGGCTTTTTCGAATACTTTTAAAATACCATCTGACGTTGATGATGATGAACCTTGATGTGGAATAAGATAGACCTATAAAGATTTTAGCTCAAGAATGTTTGTTCTTCGTGAAATGTATGAAAACTATATATATACCTGTGGTAATTTTCGGAAGTAATCATCTTCGGAATCAAATCCTTTCAGGTTCTGACTTACAAGCCTAACCGCCAAAGATTTCGATGACCTATGTTATCAATGATTATATTAGTCATGTTTTGAATTCACAAAGGGGATACACAAAAGTGAATACATATTTATAATGATATTTGATTACTGTACCCAGGAGCTCCAATGATAAATACAGGAATTTTGGTAAGAATACAAACAATCATAACCAAAACATTTTCCAAGAGTGCTTCGTTTTTTGCAGTATTAGGAGGACATGTCATTCTATTTATATAATCTTCTTGCTCTTGTCTGATAATATTACTAAAATCTTCTTCACTAAATTTAAACTTTCGGCCTGTACTTTTACTCCCTTTACTACTCCCTTTGCTCATATCTTCACTAATAATTTCTGCCATTTCTTTACGATATCTTCTTCTAATGATTTGATCATATAATCTACATTGGTAACAAAGACCTAATGCTAATACATAACATCTAAGTGAAATATTGATTCCATCATCTGAAGGATACTTATTTTTCTCATTTAGTTGCGATCTTTTTGTAAAACTGTCGTTAAAGAATTTTACTAGGGTAATTGCTCGTTTCACATCCCGAAGACTGACACTATAAGGTTCTTCTTCTTCTCGAACAAATACTTGAGATCTGAATATTAAATTTGCAAACATATCTGGATTTTTAAAATCACTTTCTAATGCTTCAAGAACCATGGTTAGAATATATCTTTCTTCTTCTTTTTCTTGAAGGATTCCATAATCCCAAACATAATCAAGAATTTGATCGGGCAATGGCTTAACTTGATATACTAAATTGCTACGTTCCTCATATCTAATTTCCTTTTTTTTAGCCTTGGTAGACAACCCAACATTACTTTGATCCTTTGTACGTATACGATACGGATTACATGCTGCAAACAATCTAATATTAGGATGTATTTGGCAACCATTTAACATTCTATGAGCTATTAAATCTGCGAGAAGACCTATATGGTTGCATGTATTTATTTCATCAAAGAATAACCATAGTTCAGAAGTATCGGCGATTTGTTGAGCTTCTACCATAAAAGATAAGATGTTTTCTTCGGTCACACCGGCATGTAAGTCTAATGACTTAAACTTAACCTCAACTACTTGCGCTAGAAAACCAATTAAACTTGTCTATAAAAAATCCATATTAACCTTTTATTAGTAATTTTCTTTAATAAAGTATAAATTTGATAAAATTTGATGGGAAATTTTAATTTACCTTTCCACATCCTGCTTCACCACAAACTATCACCTAAATATAAAAAAAATTAATTGATTTTTTAGCATATCAATAATTTAACTTTGAACTTATATATTAGTAATAATATGTAATAGTTTACCGGAATGTTGGCACGAGCTCTTAACAAAATTAAGGCCATCTTTATTAAATTATCTGCCGATAATGCATAACGAGGATACTTAATTTTATGCATGGTTTTTCTTGCCAAACGTTCCAATTTTTCCAA